CAATATACAAATATAATTTTAATTAGATTATAATAATGCTAATAATCTTGATGTAAAAATAATATAAAAACAAAAAAGAATATGATAAAAAGCTGTACGTTATTTAAAATATTTTATTAATTTATTAAAAGTTTTTCTTTTATATGATATTTTTAATTATTCAATTCCTATCGTGTATTGAATTTATATAGAAAATTAATATACATTTAATAATAATAAATTTAATCTGAAAGTAAATATAATATTCCATAATGTAACCGTTCGTACTGACCATATCATCCAAGGCGCCTTGTTTTCTGACATGTCCGAAAACAGACATGCCAATGATGGCATAGATAAATGTGATCAGGGCCAGCAAAGCCCCGATGTTGAAAAGCGCTGGAAGACTGACGACAAGGGCGAAGAGCAGCTTGCGGATACCTTTCGCGGCTTTGATGAGCCTCAAGATTCTGCCGATTCTGAACACCCTCACGACTCGCAAGAGCGTCGGGGACACAGGGAAATCCATCATGATGTCTTCCATCAAAATACCCAGGATGGATGCCAACACAAGCAGAAAATCAAATAAATTCCACGGCACCGTGAAGTAATGATAACGCAGTCCTATTATCTTGACAATTGCCTCCAGGCCGAAAACAGTTGTGAAAAATGCATTCGACACTTCGAGAACGAAGAAAATGGGATGTGGCTGATTGTAGTGTTCGATTCCCATCGTCAACATGTTGAGAAATATCAAAACGAAGATAGCTATTTCGAATCTGGAAAGTTATACGGAAGATTAAGTCGTGTTCTCTTTTACAATAAATTCGCACATCGCTTAACAATCATATTGCTTTTCTTGATGTGTTAAAGCCGTGCATGCACATTTAATATTTGTGCGGTAAAATTGGCGTAAATAGTATCCGTTGGCGGTACAAATATATTTAACTTTAGCATTGATTCGGTTTTTTTTTTTTTTAAAGTAATACGCGGTGTATCAAAAAAACGAAAAATTATACAATATAATCTTAAATATGTCTATCTTAATAAAAATATGCATTATACGTATCGATACATTTATAAATTGAATAAAAAGATTTAAAATGAGATTTTCATTTATAGTTTACACATCGAGACCAATGATTCTACATTATATACATATTGCACAATATATTGTGCAGCTAATTTTAAATTTGCATTGATTTTACAAGAACAGAGACTATCTAATCTGCGCGTGCTGAATTACGAAGTTTACGTAAGCCCTCAGTCTGCAGCTTATCTCGTCTATTATGTTATATCACTATACACCGACATTGTGTATCTATAATTTAGAAGCGGCGAGCATTAATGTCCTTTGGGTATCGATTTTCCATTACTCCGAGAAACGGATTGTCGAGTCGCGGCATTTATCTTTCGCGGTCTTGCCTCTCCTGGAAACTGAAAAGAAAATTCACGCACTGTGGAGTGATTTGTACATGGAGTGATTGATACATATTATAATGCACAAATCCGGGCAAAAAAGTGTCATCGCACAAGAAACAAATGTATACAAAATATTTGATGCATCGGCATTAAAAATGTAGAAAAAGCAAGTGAAGATCTTATAACTTCTGACATATTGTAGCATAATTCTTGACGATTTTAAAAAGTTAATATTCTTTAGAGATAAAACTTTTATATGCCAGTATAACGATCCAGAGTTTCAAGATGTAATAAAATATATTTTTTCTTACCTTTCTTTTTACAATCTAAAATCTTCTTTGATGGATGCTTAGTAAGTTGAAAACAAATACAATTGTTTTATAGGTGGCTATTTTTTTTGTTAAACATTAAGGTTTCTTCTTTCTTCGGGCTTCTTATTTTTGTTATATACCGTCGTGAATAATATTAGTATAACAATCTGCGAGAACTTGTCTATGATTCTGATCGCAAATCTTAATAAAACACATGGATAGGTATCCTGTGAAACATGCATCCAAACACAGCGGCATAAGCAACGAGGAGATGCAATCGTGTAGTTTGCGTGCAAAACTACTTTATCAACAATAATTTGTGGCACAGATAACTATGTATTAAACCGTTAACATACATGAATCGCCGTAAAGGAATTTAATAAACTTGGCAAGATCAATTTCGAGAATAAAAATAAGAAGCATTTATGTATTACCATCCCAAATATCCCATATTAATTAAAAAGCTGGTGGTTTAAAGATCACTTGTTTGTTCTTAACGATTTAATTTAAGATATCTGTGATTTTCAGGGAAAATATACACCTGCCGCATTGCTCACGCTGCACTGCGCTCGAACACATGTTGCACAGTACGACCGCCACATCAAACTCGCATGATATCCTTTACGTCACTTTGACCGCACCATTTCTATCAGCATACATTATGTAATATTGCAGCGAATACACACGTGCATTTGATTGCGTTAAGGAAAGATTAACACTTTGGTGCCGAGCAGACATCTTGAATTAAGTTTGTAATAAAGAATGTTAACATGCAGATTATTATGTATAAAATTGTTAAGTTACATTGTGATAATAATGATTATGTAAATCAGTGTTTTTCATTAAGATACAAAAATAAGAATTTTTATTGAGTAATAATTTGAGAGAAAAACGATTTAAATCAAGTCATATTAAAATACATAAATCATTGTAACATTGTAAATATGATTTATGATAATAGTAATATTTACAAAAATTATGTTACATTAAATGTAATCGAAATAAGAAAAATTACTTAGAAAAATTACTAGAGAAGAAAGTTATTTCTCGAGAAAAATAATTAAATTATTGCTTAAATATAATGTTTTTTATATATAGAAGGAAACTAAGACTTTTTAATTGTTGCAAGATTACGATAAAGAATAAAGTCGGTCATCAAAGTGTTATTAGAGACATCAATTTATACGACAATCGACAAACAACAATTATAAGCAACACATTTCTTTGCTCAAAGTACCAATATTCTTTACTTTGCCATAAAACGTTATACAGTTACCTGCGAGAATTGGACAGGTCGTAGAACATTGCGAGAAATTGGTTCATTGGACGTTTTATAACTTTTTGCGGCTTTTTACGGCCGAGTTTTTTCATGGCAGTGTAGTAGTGTTTTTGACTCTCGGTCAAAAACATTTCTAACACTCCACCTTCGTACTGAAAAAAAGTTCTTTAATTATTCTATTGAGACAAACATGAGAATTCATAAGAAACAAATTTGTTATTCACATTAAGAAATTTTTAATGACTGTAAATATTTTTATCAATGATTAAAATATTAAGAATTAAATAATCTAATATCAAAGAAATTTCCAAAATTATTAAATAATAATTTGCATCTAATTGCAAGAATATTTTACCAATATTAAAGAATTTTTCTTTACTTTGTATGAAACTTTATATTAAATATATATTATATGATATAAATAATTATTTTTGTTTTATATATTAAAATGATAAAATGGGTTACCTTCCAAGCGACAAAGAACGAATTAAATATCTTAAATTTATGACTTTCAGATCATCAGCAACGCTCACCTTTTTTTTCAACATGTTGAAATTGTCTATGATCACTCCAATAAAGAGATTGAGCGTGAAGAATGAACCGCAGACGATGAATATGACAAAATAGAGATAAGCGTAAAGATTCGCTTCTCTTTGTGGTTGCAGATCTACTCCTCTCGCATCCACAGCATCCTCCATCACTTCCATCCATCCCTCAAAGGTTGCTACTTGAAACAAAGCCAGGTAAGCGATACCAACGTGATCGAAAGTGATCTTGCTATTCTCCCAAGAATAGTTCTTGCTGAAACACTCCTCCTTGGTATTCACTATCTGAAAATGAAATCATTGCATTGGAAAGATACAATGAAGTCAGTTTAAAATTAATATCAAATTGTAATCAATTTGATATATCATACATTTATGAAAAATATTATCATCTAGATTTGATTGTCATGATTAAAACTGATAATTTATATGAGTAATGTAGAAGTTGATGAGTGGTAAAATCATTATTGGATATGCAATGAAATTAATGTTGTTGCATGAAAACCAATAGATGTATATGAGTAGAGTTTCCAATTTAAATATTTTAATATTATTTAATTAAAAAATTATTTACGTTTCAATTTAATGAAAGATTTTAATTTGTGTCTAAATATAATCTAAATATAATTTATACACTTTTATGTATTAGTCTCTTTTTCAGGAACTATATTTAATTAATAAAGTGACACTCACCGAAATGTCCAGCAGTTCCCCGTACTCGTCGACGCATTTGAAGAATTTGCCGCCGAAGAATTGGACGCCCATTATCGAAAAAATAAGCCAGAACACGAGACAGACGAGGAGCACGTTGAATATACTAGGTATTGCATACATCAACGCGTTCACTACGATCTGTGAGGCGGAAAGAAAAATTATCTCAATGATATGTAATAACTACGTTCGTATATTGTATCGTTCGTGTTTCACGGATTTTCGTAGATAGAAGTTTTTGTCTACGCAATATTTACCCTCATGCCTTGCCATCTCGAGATCGCCCTCAGCGGCCTCAGAGCGCGTAGTGTCCTCAGTGATCGTAATACTTTAAGGTTCTCATTTTCTTCTATCAAAAGGCTAAACATGGATACCTATTTGGAGGAAATGTCATTTAGTCTAAACATTGCTTTTTAAATTCATGTGAAGAAATTCATGCAAATTATATTCTTAGATTCTGATAAATTAATTTTTAAACGAAGTACTTATATTTGGCATTTGCATTTGCATTTTAATAATATACTGATAAAGGAAACAGAGAAGATTAGAGAAAATTAAAAATAATCTGTCTTTAAAAATAATCTAATGATAAACATAATTGACTGTTCTAAAAAATGTATCGAGAATAACCCGCACGCCCGCCCGCCCGCACGCACGCACGCACGCACGCACGCACGCACGCACGCACGCACGCACGCACGCAACGCACGCACGCACGCACGCACGCACGCACGCACGCACGCACGCACGCACGCACGCAAGCACGCACGCACGCGGTAATTTAGATATCAGATTCGGTTTCAGAACATCAAAAATGCATAAGAATACCAAGATCTAATCTCCGGACAAACATTAAATTTTTTTGGTGTGCCTGTATAATTATTAAATAATAAATTAAAATTCTTATGTTCAAAATCATAATAAATTGTACAGAAAATTAAATTTACAAGTTAGATTAAATAAACAAGTATGCAACTTACATATGCATAGAAAGAATAAAGATATTTGTCTTTTTAAAATTCCTAAAGATATTGCATGCGCAAAGAGTTTCTGTATTGTAATGTATGCATGTCTTAAAAATCATAACATCAGTAATGTCAGTTTAGTTTGTTAATATATATATATATATATATATATATATATATATATATATATATGTTTGTTTAATATAATATATATTTACATATATTTATAATACATATTAAATTTTAAAACATTTATAAATGCAAGAAAAAAAGTAACAATTTATCAGAATTCAGAAAACATCTTCTTTAACATCATTTTTTTAATTACACGTTTCTTTTCACTTGATTAATTTATTAATATTTGTTTCATATATATGTGAGTTCAATTAATGACGCAATTTATATTGATAGTATATGATAATATAAAATAATTAACATAATTAAAATAGAAAAAACGATATAACATGCTTTTGCAGTAAATATCATTTTAAATTAATATGATACAAATGAAAACAGACATATAAGGAGACATATAACTTTCAACATACCTGGATCCACGGGACCACATATAAAACATATAAAAAAAGGGACACGGAAACAACGTTCAAACAATTATTACGTATGTTTCATATAATACAATTTCAATTATCTTATATTATTATATGTACAAGTTGAACCATCTAAGTTCATGGCATATAAAATAATTGTTATAACTTTTATTACAACAGAAAACTTAGGAAATTATCGAATCAAATAATTTTGGAAAGTTTAAAAAAAAAATATATATATATATATATTACATGAATTATTTTGCAATATTTAATGACAATGAATATTTCACAGTTCTCATTGATGATAAAAATTATAAGTTATTTAATTAGATGGTTCATTCTGGATACATATACATAAGGCCTGCAAACAAGCAAAGGAATCAACAAACACAACACATGCCACACATATACGATCACATGATTTTGCATTTTATATCGATTCAGGATTGTACTTACGAAAACGATTATAAAATCCAGGATTGTCCAGAAACTGGTGAAGTATTTACAGAAGCCTAAAGCTAGCCATTTTAGGAGCATCTCGACGCTGAAAAGTGCGCAGAAGCCAAGATTGGTCCAATAGAGAATCTTCTTCAAAAAAGGATTGTCGTCTAAGTAGATATCCTCGAAGCACAGCGTTATGGAAGATGCGAAAATTAAAACTAGGATCATCCATTCGAAAGCGGGCGTGTCCACGACCGATAGGACAACCGTACGAACTCTTATCCACTTCTTGCCGAGGTCCGTGGCGAGGCAATGATTGATACAGTTACATCTAAACAATCATATCCATCGAACATTATCCATCATTGCAATCTAGACACTTAAATCGAAAATCAACTAACAGATTGATGAATTCATATCTTTATGAGTGATTTTTTAATATACAAGGTTTAATCCAATTTTTATTCATTCTAAGTTTTATCATAAAGAATTTCAATATATAACCTTTTCACTTTATAATTATTTTACACTGTTAACAAATGAAAATAGCAACACTTACTTCTGGTAGCAATGCTGCGGAAGGCAATCAAGTGGCTCCTTGCGCTGCTTGTTTCTATCAAATCCAGGAAACGAGCCCATCCCGTCGATGTATCTTCCCTTACTATCTCTTCTACCGCCGACTGTGAGCTCGTCCACGTAACTCACGAGAGCATGCCAGGGTCGTTTTCCTATGATCTCGTCGTTCCGAATGACTGGCTTCTCCTCTGGCAACATGGCTACTTCCTCGTCCTTGTTGGCGTCTTTGAGCACCTGTAGTTCTATACTCTCCTCGGGATTGGTCTCGTTGCTATTGCCCTTCTCGGTCAATTTCTTGTTTTCCTTTACCGTCTCCTGATTGTTCTGACTGTAGGTAGTGAGAGTGGCCTGACGGTAGATCGGATCGTACGTGAAGACTGGCTGATTGAGACTTTCCTGATACGATCTATTATAAATATTGTCTTTGGGAAGGCTCAGTACGGTCTCCTGAATCGCATACTTCTCCTTGTCGGACTTGTCCATCACCTCGCGTACGATCTGCTCCAGCCGAATGTTCTTTTCATTCTCGGAGTTTTCTTTCCGATGCTTCTGCTTGCGCACGATCGATCGTATACGATCGAACGAACGCGCGAGCTTCGATTCCTCGCCAACCTCCTCTTTCTTCTGCTTCAGCTCTTCGGAATTAAAGCTATTGAGTAACAACGCCAAGAAAAGATTGAGAACCATAAAATTACCCATCACCAGAGCCGGTAGGAAGATGGCGAAACACGTGCCCGGCCCGTCGTCTCTCTCCGCACGCATGCAGTCCCATAGTGGCTCGATCCATTCGCCGCACAGAATGCGAAATATCATCATAAACGAATGGAAGAAATCATTGAAATTCCATCGCGGCACCGGATCTGGATAGAACTTGTCTAGGGTATAGTCTTTGCTAAATAGCTGCATGCCAATCACAGCGAATATATAGATCACGATCACCAATACGAAAGTCAGATTACCAAGTGCACCGATCGTTGAAATAATGATGCTGAGGAGGACCTTCATGGTCGTCCAGGATTGTGCGAGCTTCAGAACGCGTAATAGCCTGAGGCCGCGTATCACTGATAGGCCATCCACCAACTCGAACGTTAAATCGATAAGCGACGCGGAAACGATGATCAGATCGAAGTTGTTCCAGCCGTTGTTGAAGAAGTCCTTGCTCAATGCCAAGAGCTTTAGGAAGCATTCAAATGTGAAAATGCTAGTGAACACCTTGTTGCCGATATTGAGCGCCTGCCGTATCGACTCGCTCATACCATGATGCTCCATCGCCAGAAAGCCGGTATTCAAGACGATGCAGAGGGTGATCATGAGCTCAAAGAGGGGATCTCTCACCACCTTAAAAATCATTCCGCAGTTCATAATAAAATTACATAAAGAAAATATTTAAATTTATACGTATAATTTACTTCTTGCTCGATCAATATTATACTTTTTTTTTATAATTAATTAAATCCAAATCTTTTTAAAGAAATAAATATCTTGCTATTGCTATTATATTTGAGGTAATATCTGTATAATTCTAAAAATTGAATTAACAAAACGTGACGAGGAAAGTGAAATAAATCCTAATATGATTACGCGCCTCGAAAAACCGTTTTGTGTGGGCAGAAACCAGGTCAACTTTAAGTATATTTTACTTCGGTCTATCCCACGCTAATTGGTGGTCGTTTATTTGGATCAATCACGTCTAATGCGTAACTAACTCCGGTTCCATGTTTAAGAAAAACAGATAGATTTACCTTATATAAACAATTTTGAAATCTTAGCCATCCTTCGTAATCTACGCAGCATTGAATACACTTATCGCAATTTCTATCTGGAAGATCATCTGTAAGCATGTAATACGTTATATTATTTTACCTTTAAAATCTATGCAATTTAAATTTAAATTTAATTAAAAAATATAATAAAGATAAGATTATAATCCCTCGATCGCGAAATAATAGCGAACTACTGTACTAATTCAGACATATCCGATTTTCAATAAATAATGCAAACCATACAACCAACATTATCTATGCTTTAAATATTCAATATTAACTATTTTAATTAATTAAATTATGGAATTATGTGAATGCAATTTAAAAAATTATTTGATTTTAACAGAAGATATTATATGAAGTTTATTTACATAATTGAATAAAAACTGGTGCTTTCTGAATTAATTAGAGAACACACAAATTTCAGTTTGCCAATTCAGTTATATAAAATAGCGTTAACATAGCAAATATTATTTTATTTTTCAATATTCAATATTGAGAATTATATAAATATATAATTATACATTTAATTATATACATTTAATTATATATATTTAATTATATATATAATTAAATATATAATTATATAATTATATAAATTTTAATAAAATTACAATTACATATTGGAAAAGTAAAGTTATAAATTTTTAATTCCACTGCATCTGCATTATGATTGAGAGAAAGTCAACCTTAAATTGATCCGGAATCATTTCAACTTGTTAATTTAATAACAACCAATACTATTTCAATAAACAAATTCTGCAAACATGACAAAGTTTTCGCTCACCTAAAACTACAATGTGCGACAGGTACTCTGGCGGCAGCGTGTACATATGTTTCTTGGTTTTAACCCCGTTGCACTTGAGCACCCGAATCTCCCTATTACCGGTTCTCACCGATACAGTAACCGGCGCCGGTGGGCAATCCGGACGTATCTGTTGAACCGGTTGGACCTTGCCATGCTCCCTTGGAGATCTCTCTTGTGATTTCTCGGCGCGATGTTCCCGCGATTCGCGCTTGTCATGTTCTTCGGCAGACGTGACGTCATCACCATCGTGGTCATCCACCACCCCAGAGTCATCCAAGGATGACTGTTGATTACTATTGTTACTGGCCTGCCTGGAGTGCAACATACCCCTGTTTGGCGCTAGTCGGTGAATCGTGTTGGGTTCCGGTGGTCTGGGATTGACGTTCTGGAGTGGCAAGTGGCAAGGTCGTACATTTGAATGCCTAGGACTAGGGCTCGGACTAGGTGTCACGGATCTGCAATAAAATTCAATTTCAGAATTATATTTTAAAAAGAATTTAATATCTCATAGAAGAAACAAATTATTTCATAACAAAATTTAAATGAGAGATATTGAAATGAGTTTTATAAGAATGCACAGTTGACCTTATTCTCACATATTTGATATCTGATAGCAATTTTTATTTATTGTACATATCACAAAATGTGAGATGAAGAAACATTATTAGAACCAAGATTATTTTTTTTAATCTTTGTATTATTCCAAATATAACTTTCATATTTAATGAAATATTTACGATAATATTCCAGTTTCGAATCGCTAAGCAATCTGACGGATTATAATTTTAAAGGCTTAAGATTCTACTGGACAAATCAACGATTATTTAAAGCATTAAATTAATTAATCTTGGGACTGCATGGAGTTAGGTTCAACGTGAAATCGATGCTTATAGTAATGACATTAACTCTGGGAATACCAAGCACTTCCTTGATTGCATGTGTCACTAAACCAGGTCATTGCTGCTCGCTTAGATATCATGGAAATTGTAAATAACTAGGATTAAAGGAAAGTTTACAATTTATTGCTAAAATTGATTGAATTGATGCATTAAAAACTTATAAAGAATGTGTCGGAAAATAAAGTTTGAACAAGATAATCTTTTTATAATTAGTTTGTCACAAGAAATTAGCTATAAATTTGAAAAAAAAAATACTTTATATAATTCAAAAGCAGCTTTTTCTCATTATATCGCAATTAATTTCTTTAAAAATAATATAATAAATACTCTATTATAAATACTCTATTTTGGTTTAATTTATTATGGTATTTAAAATAATCGTTATTCTTTCTACCTAATCTTTATAATTAATTTAAAGAAAGGAAGGATCTAGTTTAAGAAAAATATTAAAGCATCAAATAATCATTTAATTATAAACATTTGAATAATAAAAGATCCGATTAATCTTTATGAACATAAATAGATCACAAAGTTTTATTCTTTATCTTATTTCAAGCAAACTTTGATTTAATAGAATTGTAATATAATAAAAGATTAGCTAAAATTGATTAAATAGAAAGCATTTTATTAAATTTCTAATAAATATTAGAGTTAATAAACAAATTCGTAGATAAAGGCAGTAGCAATTTTAAGATAGATTTATATAAAGCTCATCAGAATATACGTTTCATGTGACATGGTTATCATTATAAGATTGCAAGCTCCATTTTTCCTCTGCTTTTATTACAATTCCTTGAAAATGAGAGTGTTTATGATGTTTCTTTCTCTCTTTCTAGAACAAACTTGCCGTAGTTTAACAACTTCGCAGCTGCTTTTATATATACATGTACAGAGGTTTAGATATTACTTTAAACTTTCGTCCTAGTATAAGATCCGTAGAAGAGAGTACCGAATAGTTTTAGCGCGGAAGTGCTGATAGGATTAAGATCTTTTCTGTTACACTGGTTACAACTTTTTACTTAGAGAAATAAATGCGCTTTTAGCTTCATATGTAAAAGAGATAAAAGAATATTTTTATATTTTTTTAACTTATACTTAATTTTATTTTAAATTATTTTTTTCTTGAATAAAAATTAAAATAAATTTATATACAATTCTCATCTCCTCAATTTCCCCATTTATGAAAGCTTTATACATAAATAAATATTCATAAATAAATATTCAAATTAACAATTATATTTTAATATGTTTAATTGTATTTAACTAGAATGTAGTTAACGCTCTCGATTAAAACAAAACTAAAAGACTTATTCTATTTGTATGACTTAGTAATTTGCAAGCACGACATGCGTGTTTCAGTAATAATGATCGTGATAAATCGAGTCGACCGTAAATACAGATATAGAAACCTGCTGCGTGCACCACCGTTTTTCTCCTGACCGGCGCTACTCCTCCCGCGCTTTCTTCTACGCGTCTTCTTCCTCGTATAACTACTGAGCAAAACTCCTTTACGAGCGTCTATTCTCTTCTGTTTATCTTTCGTCAATGTCTTAATGTTGATTTTCGACGGGTCGAAACTAAACGTCGAGTCCTCACGATGATCCGTCAAGTCTTTCCTTCGTTCCTGCATACAAAATACTCTATTAAATGTAATAGCGTGAGAAAGAACATAACAAAAATAATCGAGCAATCAAATGTGTTATATGATTTCTAAAGGATTATTGTAAAACACAATTTTTTTTAATAAAAGGTATTTGAATTAATATCGTAGGTTCAGCTTTAAAGTAAGATGTGCCCCAATTTGAAAGCGCATACCTCATTTGTAATCTCAGCTTCTTCCTCATAACTCAATGCCACGACGGCCAGCATCAAGTTCAGGAGATAAAAGGATCCAAAAAAAACGACGACTGTGAAGAATGTGACGCTAATAGGTCCGCACGCCGATAATACCTGTTTCACGAAACTTCATTTATCATTTTTATAATAGTCATATAAATATAATATAATATTTATAATAACATTGCGTTCATATTCTTTTGAAGAATGCAATGATTGAAATTTCGCAAAATTCAAATTTCATTTTCAAATTTCAATTTATATTTGTGATAATTATTATTAAAAACTTCTCTACCAATTTCCTAAATAATTTCCTAAATTGATATTGCTTAATATCAATTCGAAGAACAAACAAAGTCATTATGAATAATGAAAAGCTTTCCAAGAAACCTATTTATCTAATTTTCTCAAAAGAACACGTCGAGGAAATCTGAAGGCATGAGAAAAACGTTCGACTTTTGCTACAGTCTCTATCTATATCGCGAGACGAACAAAGAAAAATCTTTCAGACGACGACCTTGTTGTAGACATCCTCCCAGTAATCCAAGGTAATCAACTGAAAGGTTGTGAGCATCGACCACAGGAAATTATCGAAGTTGGTGTAACCGTGGTTTGGATTAGGGCCAACGCAGAGACAAGTGTAGCTCTCGTTGCAGTGCCTGGAAAATAGGTAAGATCCACATTGCTGACACTGCAATATCCGTAATAGCTGCGAGAACGTTTCAAGTGTCCGCAATATATTATCAAGTGTGGAAATATTACTCCCTGCGGTCTTTACCGCATCACCTTAGGTCCGCATAATTATCGACTGCACTCGTGAGATATAAAAATAATTAATGCTTCATTATTTTGCGATATTAAAATTAGAAAATCTTAACGTGTATTTTTGTTATTGCATTCTACAATATTTTCCCTCTCTCAAAGAAAATATCATGTCGTCTCGGTATTCACTTATTTTCTTTCATGCGATATTCTTCATAATTAAAAGATAAGTGATATTAACGAAGTTTGGATAATATCCATCATTATCTGTATCAATATCTGCATTGTATGAAAAAAGAAACAAATGTTAGTTACACAGTTCTCTATATATGTAAAACATCCGTGGAAAATTGAAGGATGTAATATTTCCATGCATCACGGCTGGCGGAGTTTCTTACAGGAATATCTTGTCGAAAGTGCAAAGAAACCGTCAGCTTCGGACGTATCGATCGAATAAAAAGCCTATTTTCCGCGAGACACCGCACCGATATCGAAAGAGCGCCGTAAAGTTCGTGCACCGCAGTAAAGTAGTAAAGCTTTTGCAAACTTATTTATACGAGCCGGGCGAATTCCGTCGCGCGTACGTGCGCCCGGTGTAATCATTTGGGGAATGGATGCTCCCTGCAAATCAATAAATATATAGAGATGTGCTCGCACGTTCGCCAAACCGCATAAAAGTAAACCGACCAACGATACGCTCGCGCGATCAAATATAATCGGATATCATAATGGAAATATCTTTACGACTCTGTGATTAACTAGAAATTATGAGAAATAATTGTACAATATTGTCGGTAATTATCTGTAAAACTTCGCCGATGTTTTTATATAATTATCGATAATCAACGAATAATTTATGTGTTTCGACGTAACGAAAACCAATTATGTTATTTTTCGAAGTCGTTAAAACGTATTTGAACGTCCATGACGAAATATATTATGAAAAAAAAAAAAAAAAAAATTATTTTAATGATATATAATTATTCAAATACTTTCGATTTCAGGGTTAGATAAAAGCTAATTCAGGGTTAGATAAAAGATAATTATACAGTTTCATAAATCTTACTGTACTAATTATCTTAATTTTGTAATGTAAATTCTGTAAATTTTAATTATATAATATTTTATTAACTAATTATCAATCATTTCATATCATGTTATTGATTCATATAAAAAGCGATAGCTAAATAAGATAGATTCTGCAAGTGGTTACAGTCCGCGATTAGTCGGCCGCGCAAGAAGTACGTCTGCAGTATGTTCTCCATTGATTTTCTTTCTAAAGGGGACACGAAATTTTTGTAACTGAAAGCTAGCTCTCCTCGCAGACGCTTTACTTGACTTCGGATAAATTTTTCTACAACGTGGAATGACGTTTCCGTCGAGTAGTCAAAAACTCGTGAATTTCTCGAGTATTGAGAAAAATAAACGTGAGAGATTTGAGAAATTTCGTTATAGAATAGACGTATATGGATTGAGAAGAAGTACCCTCGCGAATTTGTCATTTTTCTCGCCTCCCTCTCACGAAGGAGAAATCGAATGGTGCTCGTCTGGAGATGTTGATGCGTAGAACCGCGTCTCTTGAATTAGCTTATCTAAAGTGGAATCGGGGGTGAGGGATAAGTAGAGAAACACCAACCTGGCGCCGGTTACGTTGCCACAGATGATCGGCTCCTCGTCCTCATTGAACGCCCAATTGGATGAGTTCCAAGTCCACCTGTTGGCGACACGAAAATTCCGTTAGCGTTCCTGCACCAAGTCCTCCAAGGCCCGTGATCTCCGGAGATTTAAAGCGAGAGAATTACATATCCGCCGCCTTTCCGTGTGTTCTCTCGCGGGGCAGTCAATTTATCAAATCAATTTTTCTCAATTTGGCGCTGTCCAATACGGCATAGACGAATCAAATCAACCTCGAATAATGCCCGAACAAAAAAGACTGACGATGTAAAAGACGTGTGAGATCGCGCGTCTACGAGCGTACAGTTATAAACCAATAGCAAAATTTATTTATAGAATATATCGTAACTCGCTTTGTGATAGAGTATACAAATTTCGTATACATATACATCGTATACATATACGTCCCTTTTTCTTTTTAAAAATCATCTCAATCATCACTTTTAATTATTTGTAACACATCAGAGATGACCGTCAATATTAATCAACACCGAGTATCATTAATTTCTTACCTTCATCGAAGGTTGCATTTGATGCTAAACCGCGATTTCGATTAGCTGAGCGACACAAAATTGGGATCATGCGGCTACATTCGCAGCTAAATTAACACGGCGAGAATACACGTGCTTATTTGCTTATAAGCGCTTTCACTTGCGGTCGCATTTCCTCGTCATGATGAGCGGCAAGATCATCGTATCGCGTAACGATATCCATCCATGACATGAATACAACGTGCAGCTATGCCATTCAGTTTAATCGATGTGAAGTGTAATATATCCTACTGAGCGTAACAAATTGCCACATAGTGTTTCACTTCAATCATTTGTTGAAAAGTTATATGTAGATGTGTTTTAAAAAATATGAGCTCGTGTATACTCTTACGTATATTTTTAATCACGTTTCTCTCTGATCGATATTCGTATTAATGTCTGCAAAGTTAAATGCGCGAAATATATAAATTTACTTCAAAATTTTGCAAAAAAGTCTAAATTTAATAATTTCGAATAAGATAACATTTTTCATAGATCTAAATCAGAAATCGAAAGCTATACACATATCAGATATTTTTTCAATCAGCCAATAATTTATAATTTAAATTTATGGCATGAGTCTCAAGACACTAAATAAAATTTTCATTGTATGCGAGTCGCAGACTTCTCGAAACCGAAGTTCATAAATAATGCGACCATTCTCGCGTTTTTTGCAACTACCCACTTTTTTCCACTTCGAGCTGCGCGCATACTCTCGCATAAATCACCCTGTGTCACCTCAGCTCTCGTGGAAAAACGCTTCGTGCTTTTCGAGGGTGTCTGACCGGTCGGCGTTTTAATGCGATGCATTGCGTAACGGCGTGTCCGTCCGTGCGTCTCCCCGAAAAGCGTCACGTTACGCATCCGCGATCCGAGCGCGGATCGATGTTGTCGGGTTGGAAAGCGCGGACAATGAGATCCGCCGACGGATAACTTCCTAAGCATGCGGCAAGCGGCCCGTTTGGTATCGCACGACCGGAAACTCGATAGCGATGCTCGTAACGCGCTCGCGCCGAGGAAACGAATGCTTGTTGGGAAGCGGTGCACCACACCAACCACAGTGACGGATTGCAACATATATACTACCAACGTATCTCGCTTTCGTATTCGCCGTTTCAATCTCTTTGGCATCTCCCAGTCAAAGTCTGCTCTTTTTTTCAACTACTTTTCCAATTGTGAAAAATATTTAAATCTCTGAATTATTGCAGACTGGTGGTGCAATATTTTATTTATAATGTTAATTAACCCTGCGCTGTCCATCTGGGGATTTAAAGATTCAGATGACTTTTAATTGTTTGGTAAATAATAAGAAGGGATTAGTTTCCCTGTCTAAAAAGAGTTATTGATAATGGGGACTTATCAATCAATAATTATTTGCAGTTGGTATCATTATATTATTGTAAATAGTAATCTTGATTTGTATAAAATTATAAGAACTTGTTTTATGTGCACGTATAAAAAAAGTTATAAATTCTTTATCGCGACATTGCATTGTGGATTCTGCTCAAATTCGGCCATATATAAAAAAAAAGATGTTTTAGATATAATTATACAATCATATTCTTAAATGTTGAGACAGTATATCGGAATTTTTAAAAATTTTTAGAACCCAAAAACCCTTTGAAAAAATCCTTCCTTTAAATACTTTGACTAAGTGAAGTTGGACTGCGGAGGATTAATTCATGTTTCTATTAATTCATACAAAAAATTGAACTGGCGTCAATACATAATCCCTAACTATAAATAATTTTCTGGTTTGTAATTGGTGCACTCTGAATACAATGTTTTTATAAGAATATAATCTTATTTTCATTGTTAACAATAATCATTTAGAGAAAAAATATATCCATGTGATTCTTAAAAGTATGTTTTCGCTAAAAAATTTATTGACTTCCTCGTTAATATCGTCGGGCCTTGGATCTCCGTTTATCAAGATCCATTACTGAGCTTGCGGAAACCGTGTCGTTGATTATGGTCGGACTACTGCGACGATTAAGCTCCGCTTTAAACGATCCTGTACGATTTACATATCTGTGGCGATGCACAGAACGCGCTTATCTTGATTACTCGGAATGATCCTTCTCGCCTTCATGTCTTTAATCAAACATTTTCTCCTTCGCGCAACCTACGATCTATTTTGTGATACGATTTGAGTGTAATATTTATCGATTAGTTTCATATTGGTCAAAATGTAATTTTTGAAAACTTAAAGATTTATTGCATTCTACGTTAACAACATCGCAGATAGAATGTGATATATTATCTTTTTGTTGCATCGATGTTTGCAAAGTAATATTTCATCGGAAATGTACTTATATCTAAAAACATGCAAAAATAACGAAAGAGTTTCTGCGCTGAAATATCGAAAGTTTTCCAACTGCATTGCGAAAAATGTCTCTTTAACAAAATCCACGAAATCATATTTTTTCAACGATCAATTTAATACGATAAAATTCTTCAAAATTCTCTTACAGAATCAATTTTAGATTTTATAATTTAAAGAAATGTCAAATATTTTTTAAATAATAGTACGGATAATAATATTTAGAAAGGTTAAGAATATTTTGCGATACTTTTCAGAGAAGAATAAAAATTCAGAAGTAATTAAAAACGGATTTAACATAAGCGTGATGATGAAAATATCTTACTCCATCCAGTCGATTTGCGTGGCGTTTGGCTCTTGATGCTTCACACATTTATTCCTAAGTTCGCCCATATAAACTTGCAAGGCGAACAGTGCAAAAACCATCAGGCAAAAAATTGTCAGCGTCATTACTTCGGCAAGTTGCTTGAAACTGTGCAACAGTGCGTTGATGATAGTCTTCAGACCTGTACAAACAAATCAATTTTTAAAATTGGACAATTTTTTATTTTATTATCAAGCAAAATTTTCACTTATTCAGCATCGTCAATAAAATTAATTAGATTTGAAGTTGTTTTAAGGTTACCGTAAGTTATCTAATATTAACAATTAAATTAATTGTCGCAGCAAATAATCTCCCGTTATTTATATTTTTTAATTTATTTAAGCAATTTAATCTTCGTACGTGTTTTAGATTATTAACACCTGTTATTATCTTGACAAGTAAATTGTAGTCGATTTTTCCGTGACTGCGGCGGCTTTACTTGAGAAACGTCCTATTGATCTGCTGCTAGAAGATGCGTTATTCACCGGTGCCACTCCAGCGTCGTTAGCAGGGCATTCATTTCATCGGCCTTTGGGAATCTAGCAAGCAAACCACCCCGAGGCCTCTAACTGAAAACGCCATGCCGCGAGTTCGCTTCGATCTCCTGTCAGATTGTATGTCTGATAATTTCGACCATTTTTTTCAGGATTATCAAGAAATTCTTGGAGAGAACGGAGATTCCCAATTTGCAGTATTAACTCAACACGCTCGCGAATATCACTATTTCCTCATCCATTTTTGCTTTGATTCCGATATTGGAACGTATAGAGAAAAAAAATCTTTTGCAGTGGAATCGATAAATCACGTTTGGTATGAATAGCTATGTACATTCGCGCACTTTTTCGATTTACACGCGCGGCGTTCGAAATCGATATCAAACGAACCGTCAAGATAAATCATCGGTCCCTTTCATACGATAGATGTGAAACGAAACAGTCTTGATAATATCTGGAATAATCTGGCGGTCCACAAGACCGTTGAGAGACGACATTTGTCGCGTTTCAGTTCCCTGTCCATGTGTGAACTTTGGATAAAGTTCGCCGCTCTCGGTATACACGACGACAGTCATATCTTTCTTCTCGGCGGAAACTTAAATCCGCTTCCGCCATCCTGGGACCTCAGCCGCTTTGTGTTTTTCATTCAAGTGGCCAGCGGCTGTTCCTGCTGCTTTATGGTTTCCCATTATGTCTTTTTGATCTCTTTAATTTAGCTAAGCTCGCTTTTGACCAAGTTGCTTTGACGATCTGTTAGTTCCCATGTCTTTTCCGCTTTCTGGCCTTGTTATTTCAAGTTAAAGTGTCGACGTACTTAGTCTAAAGTTATTTGATGTATTGCGTTGAGTCAGTATTGTAGTTTTGTTTTGCATGTACTTTATTTCGATAATTTTCTCCGCTTTTATCTTTTGCCACTAACATCGCTACGATAATCAACAGAAACAGGGAGAACTAAAAAAAATTAAAAAATTATATACGAAAAGTTTAATTAAATGGAATTGTTGAAAGTATCAAAGAAAAGTATCGATTCAAGAATTAATAAATTAAAAGTAACTCGAGTTAAGTTAAGTTTATAAGCTACTTTGTAATTTTAAAGCGACATAAATTTCGACTAAAATAAATACGCAAATTTCTTCTGCCTTATCGTTCGAGCGGTGAAGCTTCAACGATTTTAGACCCAAACTTTTTCGGATGATCTTCACTCTTGAGGATTGTTCTCGGCAAAATGTCATCGAGGGAATATAAGCGAGATAAATGAACCTTTTCTCGACTTGCGCTATAAATTCGATCGCATCCATAAATTCTTCGGGTCAGTAAATCAAAGATAAAATTCGGACTGCGCTCGTGTCTTTGCTCTCGTTTTCTACGCATCATCGTGAACCGCCCATCGTTTGCGCATTTCATATCGTCAAATCCATCATTGTTGATCATTGCAAATGTACTTGTACCGTGACACACAACGAATCAAGGATTACGAGTTTCTCTATCCGGCCACGATGCGAACCTGGCAATTCCGGTTAACGCATATTCACTGATTTACGAATGTATTCGCCCGAGCGTGGATTCTCGGTACTGAATATTGCAAGGAATAAACAATTACGCGACAAACACGAAGCGAAATCAACGTTTCGCTAAACGAACATGTTAATATATAATCATGGACAACTGCAAAAAAGATCCGTACGTTCTGCGAGCATTTAGTCATGTATGCGGAATATTGGACGATGAATTCTGATGTGTGGAATATAATTTCGATCGAGCTATATTAATAATATTGTAAAGATAATAATAATAACGCGTGTCAAAGGGGATGCATATATAAATATCTAAATAATCAACTACGTAACGTTGCGACGAATTTCGCGGCGATTGTCATTCAATTTCTGTCACGCAAATGGATTAACGCGATAAATCACGATGAGTCACATGGTGCGCACAATCAAGCGATTTTTAGCTATCCAGGCTGATCATTTATGCTCATTTCAGCGAAACGTATATAAATGCGGGCTTGATTTAATGCTGGAATTTATATGAGAAACGGCTCGGTTTATTTGCAACTGATTAATATCGTGTCCGCCAATATCGATCGCGCGCATTTAATCGTTGCAGCTTAAAACACGTTACTTAATATTTTGTTAGCTGTAATCAATACATGTCGACAATTACAAATTGCAATATTCATAAATAAATATTTTATTTCCGAGAGAAAACGAACAATCATTGATTTTTAACTTTACGCTTAATTATGTTGATTAATCGCGAAAATACTAGATAATAAAAATACTAGGCGTACTAGAATTTCTTCAAATTTAAAAATTAACTTTTTTATGATATTATTTTTATTGAGTTTTCGAGAGAATGCGTTAGAGATCGCTGTTGCGACAAACTTTCTAATCAAAGCAAGGAATTCCGATTCCATCTTTCTTGATCATTTTTGATCAAATCAAACGAGACATACGCCTCAAATTCGCTGTATTACCTGGCATAATGGATACAGTCTTAAGTGCTCTCAATACTCTGAACGTCCTGAGACCGGCTAGATTCCCGACTTCCATCCCGATAGTGGCGTATCCGCTGGTAATCACCACGAAGTCCAACCAATTCCAGGGATTCCGTAGATAAGTGTACTTGTTCAGTATAAATCCCTTCGCAATTGATTTTATCACCATTTCCGCCGTGTATATGGCTAGGAAGATATATCTAGAACATGAGAAACACCGAATGTCAGATCAACTAGCCGCTACCGTTCGTTATCGGATCCCGACATGTTTACGGGAAAGTCAAAATGTTATACAGAACGTGTCTGAACTATCGCAGTTTCCTGTAACCAGCTTTGACAAATTTATTCCATAATGAAAAGTCGTCGCAATTTTATGTGATTCTCGGAAAGCGTAAACATTAGCGTAATTATTTTTTAAAAATATTTAATAATATTTGATGATATTAATGCGTTCGATTCACGAACGAATTGTTCGCGCAATTTTTTTATATTAAATTTAAATATTCTCAGTCTTTTTAAATATTTTTTAGTCATATAATATTATAAATATTATATATGTATGTATCTGCGATTTATTGAGAATAAAGTAAAATATTTGCTCTTTACAATACACTAAAAACAATATTTTTGCACTTGATTAAACTTTATACAAATTAAACTTTATATTTCAAATTGGGATTTAGATATAAATTTGAACTCTTGCGGCCATGTAAATCACCTTGTTCTATAAACGCCTGTATCGAATCAATCATTTCAAGCGTATTACAAACACAGACTTGCTAGCAATCAATTTAACTTTCCCAACCATACAAATATATATCATGTTTATAAAACAAGCATCTTATGAAAAAAATCTTTATATTACGCATTTACGTTGTTGAAACATTATATTTAACCATCATACAGAAGCGTCACTGTTAAAGACATTTTAGTCGCATTTCTCTACATACCAGAGTTTATTTACCATTTGTAAAAAAAATTTTATCGAATATTCCGAATCAACAATCAATATTCTTCGTGAATCTCTTCTCTCGTTGGTGCCGGTGAAAAGAATTTCGACCCAATTCGACGGTTGTAGTGCATCTTTAAAGCTTCCATCCGCGTCTCGGACGTCGGCGCCTTGCGGCATTCCGACCACCTTCGCGCGGAAATGCGCTGGCGCTGCATCATCCGATGCATCCCCCGGATTGCCTGCATTCTGCTCCGAGGGATAACCGATACGGAATAACCACAGCGCGTCTGCCTTTGTTTCCGCTTTTGTGCGACGTGATGAGATGCTCTCCCTCATCGCGTAACGACGTGAACGATTCTGATGAATATTTTGCACGAGTGCAAAGATGCACGAGATTGCGTTCGAATGATTGAAAATAGCGCGACAACGTCGAAATATGTACTAAGTATTATTGTGAATATTAAGTATCTTAATATTCACAATAATACTTAGTACATAGTACCTAGTACCTATCGACGTTAATTAATAGTCGTGCTTGAGCAAACGCAAATTTATTTCATTCTGTAATAAATTAACAATTTTAAACAGAGCTTTCTTTTCTCCCTTGAGAATTATTGATAAAATACTTGTATTTTCCAGACCCCAAATTGTTTAAAATGTATATAAGCTCTTTATTATATTAAACGAGTTAGGTCAATTAACTTCGCGAAAGGAATTCTAAAGAGATCGCTTATTCACCACTTTGAAAGCTCGTTAATCTGACACGCCTTCGCTCAAGCCGCAGTTGCGGAAAATTACCGCGAGACATATTCGGCGAAAGCACGTTAAACGAATTGCTATCCGCAGTCGTCGAGAACTATCGCAAGTTACTCGCTGGAGGATACTTAGCTTAAGAGGATTATATGCTAAGTGAACACACATATGAAATGAACGCCAGTTGTACATGTTTAAAGAGAACCCATCGTTAACTCCCTGAATGCTGCGCGGATTTCGATTAACTGATGAAAGCCTAATTAAAGTCTAACGCAAGTAAGGCCTAAGGTGGCGTGCACAATGTGCTAGATGTGGATAACTAAATAACATGTAAATTTTAAGATGAATTTCAAAATGCAGAGACAAGGCAAGATAGAAAACTACATATTTTGAAACAGATAAAGAATGATGTAAATATATATATATATATATATATATATATATATATATATATATATATATATATATATATATATATATATATTATATTGTATATGTAAGGATACTTGTACAGAGAAAATAATAATTTTTCAAATATTTAGAGAATTTTAAAGGAAGCATTAATGAGTATAAAGAAAAAAGGAGAAAAGAGAGATATTGATCTCATTAAATCAGTCTAAAAATTCTGAGACTGCGATAAAATAAGGATTGAAGATATTAACTGCACTAAACTTATAATGCGAATATTAAGAAGATTTACGGTTTTATTTTATGGATGATGTCCGCACAAAAGACTCAATGCGCCAGAAAAATTTAATTACAGCTGTCATAAAACGACACAGTGATTCCTTTTAATAGTGATTCACTTTTCCTACAAAAATGATTTATTCGTTCATCTAGTAGCGTGTACAAAGCTCCAGCGACTGTTAAAATCATAGTAACATGTACTTTTGTGAAATATGCATCTTATTTTTTAAATTTCGGTATAATGAATAGAGGCTCTTTTGTAAAAAATTTTAGAATTCCTGATACGTTTTGAAAAGAATTTCAGCAATCAAATTAAAATTGAAGCAAAAAATTAAAATTTGAAAATATATGCCAACCTTAGTTTTATGAAACAGAAATTAATCATAAATTTTTATTTCGAACAAGAGAAATTTAAAATTCAATACGTTATGAAAGAATTGGCAATGCATTTTTATAGCGTTAGCCAAAAAATGATAGAAATCGGAAAAATATTTTAAGAATTTTTTTAAAAATTTCGATTTCAAATAAATAAATAATCGTAAAAATTTCTTTAATTTTTTTCACAAAAGTGTAACATGTTTATGTTTGTGCAATTTGAAAAAATGTTTTGCGTAATGCAATAGTTGGCAATTGTTTGTTTTTGTCTTTAGACATTTGAACATTAACAATTGAACAAATAAAAGAACAAAGAAACAAACATAATACAGTAATAAAGAATTATTCAAAAAGACAATATCAGACTCTTATTATTGTAATAGATATTATTACTCGCAGACTTAAGAGCGAATTAATCATTAACTCAGACACGGTCTTATATTTTCTAACAAAAGAGTTAAAAAAAATTCTACTCTCTCAATGTAAAGGCAAATGTTCTTTAATAAAAGTCTCGAAATATTAAAGGTTTCGATATTCAATAAGCTTTATAAATAATTTTAAAAATAAAAAAACCTTTTCTTTGCTATTTTATTCTTCATCAAATTTACAACACGGATTTTGTAATCAATTTTTAATTTGAAGCTTTACACATATTATACACGCTATATATGATATATTAATATTGCATGATTTTGTTTATTAAATATATTAATAATAATACTGTATATTAATAATCAATGTAATAACCAAGATATTTAATATTGAAAATCAAGAAATCAAATAATTCCTAAAAAAAAATTCCTAATTAAATTTTTGTGAAAAAATCAATCATTTGGATGTAAAACATGCAATATTGAATTTTTTTTGAACTCCATGTTCAATATAGTTTATATAATAATTACAAAAAAATTCGCGACTCTTATTATTAGGAAAATATAATTATACTATTTTATATGGCAAGCGCAAAATTAAATTATCGTTTATTGCTGACCAACTAGCTACTGCATAAGCATGAGGCTCCAGTCTATATACTTACTCGGCTTCCTCGACAGTTTCGGTCATGGCCAGGAAGACGCAGTTAAGAAGTATAGTAGCCATGACCACGTAATCAAAGTACTGATTCGTACTTAGGAAGATACAGCACCGCCGTATAGGATTCCACGGAGAGAATATAAACCAACTGTTGGTCGCCGTAAATCTATGGATGTAGTTCTTACGGAATCTCTTAGATACCACGCAGAACGTCTGAAACACAAGAATTCTTTAATTATAATAAATTTTCAATCTAGATCCGAATCGATATAGAGAAAAATCAAGTCAGAAAATTCGCGACTCTTATTATTAGGAATCGCGATTTCTCGATTTTGATATAAACATGTACAATGTAACTTCTATCAAGCTAAACTCCCTGTTGCAAATCGCATTTATAAGAAAATTTAGTGCTCCAGGCGTTTAGCGCAAATTACATTCAAAGTTAAGAGGGCTTGCCATTAAGCTGGATCCTCCATAATAAAAATGTTATTATATCTCGATGTTATTAACATCTCGATTACGTACTCGTAAATGCATATTCTTTAATTTAAAACAGTAAGTCATTAATTTATTATACTTTTTACACATATCTTTTCTTATTTTAAGTTAAGTTTAAGTTTTCTTATTTTAAGTCCACTTATATTATATATAATAAACATTTTTAAAGTTAACTAGCTCTCTCTGCAATTCAATAATTCTATTACCATATTTTAATCCGTCAACGAAAGATTTTATTTTCATACAACAAAATGTTATTATATTTTGTAAGTAATTATTTTTTTCTTATATTTGAATATTACATTAACTTCTAGCAATTAATTTCGTTAATTAAAAATAAAGAGATGTACAAGCAAATTTTTCGAGCAATCCAGAGCTACAAACAATTGCGTCATTAATTAAGTTTCGTTACAGACGGGAAAATCTATATCATCCTTTTATCTACGTTCAACGAATCGCAATGAAATGCAATACAACGATTCACTCGTTGGATTTGCTTAAGCAATGTGCTAAAACAGCGCAGACTCCAAAAGCGGTAGTGGGTCAACGCGTAATTATTAATAAGTTATTTCAGCATTCAGATATGCGTTGGCGAGGTATCTTTCAATCTATGCGCTGGTTTGCGGGATGGTTTTAAAACTACCACGACCTGATATTTTTCTGTACAAAATGCTGATTTGTTAATCACTTTCTCGATGAAACATAGATCGGACACCGATAAACCAAAATTCATTCTGTTTTAAAATTGAGTTTTGTTACAAAATTTATATCGCCACAATTATCAATTATGTTGATTCAAATTATTTTTTTGAAAATAAAAATTGCACATTGTCATTATAATAAAAAATTCAGAAGTTTTACTATAACATTCTATAATAGTATTGAAACTTTTATCGGATAATTCATTCAATCTATTAATCCTCATATTATTTTATATTTTAAGTTATACATTTTGATTTCTAATGTTTATAGATATATATTTTACAATTGTAAATTAAAAAAATATTTGTGTAATCATGTTCATATAATAATCATGAGTTACATTTCCATTAGTTGCATTTTCCATTATAAATAAGTTTTGTTTTGTGTTAACGGAACAAGGCCATTCTTTAAATTTTTTCGCAATCCTCAGTTAACATTCTGTTCCAGTTAACCATCCAAATAAATAATTCAAGATAGAATAGATAGATAGAAAATATAATATTAAGATATTAGACACAACTATTAGTCTTATTTATTCTGATTGGTATTAGAGTTATGTGTAAATGAAGTACAAGATTCTTTTCTTAGATCGTCTCTTTTTAACGATTTTTAAATTAGTCAAATTTTTAAATTTTACTATAAAAATTTTAAATTTAAAATTTGTAATTGATACACACCAATGTGCATACAAACATTAACATTTCTATTTTAATTTTAATCATTGCTAAATGATTATATATTTTAACTTGAATTAAAAATATTTGTTTGCACAAGTGCAAGTGTGACACATCTTGACAAGAATTAATGGATTAAAATCGAATGAAATGTCAGACAGATATGATCGTAGATGCATTATTTCTATAAATGGATTTTGAAAGATTTCAATGTATTATAATTAGTATAAAAATTTCAAGTTATTTATGATGTATTTGATGCACGTAAATTTATAGACCAATATAATATATTATTGTTTATTATAAATATAATAATTTTTATAAGTATTAATTAATAGTTAAAAATATAATAAAATAGATGTAAAAAATAAGATAAATTAAAAATATAATTTTTCTTCTTTTCAGCTGATTAAATAATAAAAAACCATAATGTGATTGTATAAACTATGTGACATACATTCTCTTATTTATTATAATATTATATTATATATGTACAGCACAGCACTTGCATTGTTAATGTTTTTGGATTATAATTATGTAGATATTATCACATATGATAGGAGAGATCAATTGTGTACATAAAGGGTAACATCTGATTGCTCGATCTAGCGTCTTTAATCCTTGGTTACTTGACCTTGCAAATCGTGCTCGGTAATCAGCCATTAACCTATCTACCTATTAGATTAGACTGCATCCGTGTTTAGATTGTATCTAAATAGGTATTACGCGGCTTATTTCCACCTTCCTAAAAACAGCCTGAGAACACTTTTATATTTTGCACATATGAAAAATTGGGTACTTATTTTCACGGAAAAGGCAAAATAAACTGATGCAAAAATGTCGCCAATTTATATCACTTAATTATATCATTATGGTAAAAAGTTTCCGTTTCGCTCTCAATTCAATATTTTAACTTGAGATAAATACTCGTTTAACGCTACTGAAGTGTTGAAAAATCATTTCAAATGTAAATGTATGTGAAAGAGAATGCTTTGAAGAGAATTGATGAACCAAGATGAAGTGCTTTGAAATATCAAATATTTGTATTTTCAATACATCAAGAATGCATCGCTTTTATCATAGGATTTTGAAGAGAGCCTCGAAAGATTTTAACGCATAATGGTCAATATAAAAGTATTGAACTATTTACGATAAATTTGATAATATACATAAAATTCGCGAAACTATTATCAAAGATGTAACTATTTCTGTTACGCAGCAAACAAACTTATGCAAAAAGGAATGCATATGAGCTTAATATCACAGGTTACAGAATTTTCAATCATATTTTATATCATTAAATAATTGAATTAGAAAATCGTCAATATTTTTATTCGTGAATGACAGAAACGCGCAATCGCAAATTACGCTATGACATTATTGTTAGCGATTAACATTTTTATTTTATCAATCATCGCACTCGTATTGCTTATGTAGAGAATACGTGAGAATTACGTAGAGAATTACGTAGAGAATTTGTATGCGTCGCTCAAATGCATCACGTACATTTGTGGTGGTCATAAAACGTATACATCGCGGTGCCTGAGAGTATTTAGCATAAACTGCGGTAAAATTACCGAACCGCTCCAAACGCAGTTAGAGAGCTAAAACATTATTAATCAGCATACGCAAGATCGAAAATTAACTGGTATAATCAATCTATTAGATTAAAAGCATTTATTTGAATTATATTTAAGTAGATCCTTTATATGATCCTTTCATGAATATTCCATGATGCTGTTACTATTTTTTTATTACGTGAATATATAATATATTTTTGTGAAAAAGCATCAAAAAGGAGAGAAACTAAAATTAATCACATAACAGCGGTTTACAGAATAAATTCATATTATTGTATTATATCTTGTGTATGTCATTTGTGTCTTCATGATAATATATCTTAATATATGAGCTTTCTTCAATAAGACATAAGGCTTTTTTCTTTTCTTTTTAATTTTTCGCAAATCTTAGATTTTTAGTTTTGTACTTTCATATTTCTACATTTCTTCTACATTATTTCCATATTTTATTTGTAATTTTATTACATAGGCATTAATACTGTCATCAATCGTTTTTCAAGATTAAGGTCGATTTTAGGGATTTATGCTATGTATCTATGCTAACAAAATCGTAATTTGTCCTCAATTGACTTCATCGATCGAATAATTAAAACAGAGTAAATAACGCGCGTGACAACCCCGATGAAAAGCGGTTTCCGCGTGCTTTTCCTCTCTTCCTCTCTTTCTATTTCATTTACGTTCTGCTTGCTGATCCATATCCTCATTTAACCGCCATCTGATCATCTCATCGCTTCTAGTGTCGATTCCGTATAGCCGAATCGAATTCGTGCCGGACAATTTCCGGGATGTTGCGCTGTTCGTTTTTTCTTCTGTTTCGTTTCCTCTTATTTTTTTCTTCTTTTTTTTCTTCAGGTCTATTCGCGGAAACTTTGGACGTGAACTGGTGACGCGGTCATCATCGGGACTTGATGCTCTTCGCGACAAGTCGCGGCTTGTTCGCGCGCTTGCGAACCGACTAATATCGATCTCGCTGCTCTGCACGAGCAACACGTGCATCAACCGACCGACCAGTGGCCAACCAAGCCAAGCAAGCAACCAGGTCAACGTCAACGAATACGAAGTGTCGCTTGGCACACGTTCCAGATAAATAATATATGCATTTCCGGAAACACGCCACTGCGCGCGATCAAGCCGGTTTCGATGATTCCCTTCAAAGAAAGGCCAAGATTAGGCATAATTAAGTAAAGCAAAGATAAAGTACGATCTTATAAATTATTACAAGTGCTGTAATGCATTTACTAGTTCTATCAATGCCAGATGGCTATTTAATAAGATATTCTATTAATAAGGAGAACTATTTATTTTGATTTAGAGAACTATTTTACACTAAGAGTTAATTAAAATTGATATTAGCTAGATTGCATAATTTGTTTGACGTTTAATGACAACCTAATCATTGAAAAGGATAATTCACGACATTTGAGAGAATTGCACTTTACGCAATAAAGATTTTAATTTGTCAGATAATTGTAATAGAAATTTTATAAAGTGTTCCATTTCAATCGATTGAGCTTTATCGTTGTATCTCTTTTGAAATATACAAATCTCGCATAGAATATACAAATTTGTAAAATATTTATTTTCTTATTTATATTTTAAATTACATATTATTAGTTTTCTACAAAAATTTGTTATATATTTCTAAAGCCTAAAACATAAGTTGTAATAACCGTTAATTTTATTTTGAATTATATTTCATTTTGTGTTTATATAATAAAGTCAAATTTGTATTGATTTGTATTATCTTTGTATCTTAACG